TTTAAACCGCAAACCTTGTTCTTGACAATCCAAGGTTCTTGGATAAGAGCGAGCTCCTCTGATTTTTTGCCGAGGTTTAGAATTAGGGCAGCCGAAGCCGCCTTAGAGTGGTGCAAGTTAATATGTGACTTGCACCATTATCGGAGTCCGGGGGAGGGTCCTCGTCCCTCGCTTCAGGCTCATCACGTTGGGAAGCTACGATGGTGCAGTCGAGATCCTCCGGTTCTGAAGCCAGAAGCTGGTCCTCTGGTAGTATGGCCCAGCGGCTGTAGACCGAACCTACGTAAGCGGAGACTGAGCACGTATCGCTCTCATCTCGATACATCCGCGGGCATACTTCCTCCATTTCCATTTTTCAAAATTTGGTTGAACAAATTCAACTTGCTCTCGCAACACGTCCTTTAAAGTTTCGCAAGCAACTATTCCTTCTTGATCAAGATTAATATTTATTTTCTTTGACATATATTATGATATTTTACCATTCTCTCCTTTTAAGTGTTTCGTTAGTGGTTTAGCTATTGTAGCATAATTCTCTATAAATTTCCTATAATATCCTTGTCAATCCCAAGAATCCTCTAAGTTGTCTTAATGTTTTGGGAATTGGAAAATTTTTTATTGTTTCTACCTTATTTGGATCGGTTTTTATAACTTTATGTGATACAACATATCCTAAAGATTCGACTTCCGTTTCTATAAGTCTTGATTTTTCCATAGATATTTTCATATGACCCTTTTCAAGTGTTTTTCTACTATATGCTTTAAAATGTTTTCGCGCTCTAAATGTTTTCGAATATATTATAATATCGTCAATGTAAACATGACAGAATTTACCAATACATTGGTGTAAAATATTATTCATTGCTCTCTGAAATATGCTTGGAGCATTTTTCAACCCAAAAGGCATCCGCAGATATTCATATTTTCCATTATTAACGGAAAATGCCGTTTTTTCTATGTCTTTATCTTCCATCAATATCTGCTGAAATCCGGACTTCAAATCAATAGCAAAAAAACTTTGCCTTCCCTAAATTAAAAAGTATAACCTCAGGATTGGGCATCGGGTACCTATCATTTAATTTTCTAAAGTATATGACCATTCTTAGCTTAGGACTCCCATCTTCGTTCATTCCCTTTTTAGGAACTACCCAAACAGGTGAATTATAAGGACTTTTACTATGCCTTATTATGCCTTTTTCTAACAAATTTTCAACTTATTAACAAAACTATTACCAGATATAGAATATGAATATTGTTTCGACCATATAGGTTTTTCATCCTCAGTTCTAATTTCCGCCTTAATATCTGTTCTAAAAGGTAAATCCATGTTAACATTTTTATGAGCTTCTTCTATTAATTTAATAAAATCCTCTCTCAACAAGGGAATGTTGATATTTTCAGTTTCCTTATTGCCGTTTATATATTTGGTGGCAAACTTTTCAATTTCATTACCATCACTAAATTCCAAATTATTAATTTCCAATATATTATTGGAATGAGATTTAGAGTTTCCTTCCTCCAAAGAAATTTTTTTTGTTTTTTTATTTTGTGCTGGGATATTTACTTATTTATTTATTAAAATTCTTTTTGTAGTAACATATTACCGGTAAATTCTTCGCCTGGCGCGGCAGGACTCTCCTGCCCGACGGGGTTTAAATTGTATGTATTTTTGCATTTTTTAGCTTCAATACAAAGCAATACAAAGTGCCGGTAAAAACTTTGGTGGGCGCCTCAGGATTCTCACGTCCCGAGGCGTTTAAATTGTTATTTTTAATTTTAACGACATTATCTTTAACTTGGTACTTCTGTATTTCATTAGGATTATCTTCTTCCGTGTTTAATAATATAATTTTTCTCTACAATTAATTCAATTGCTTTGTTATTTCCTAGTTCGTGCCGTGTGTCATTATAGTTTTGTTAATCAGTAATGTTAATTTCTGATTAGCCTTTTTATAATAATCTATTAAGGATTTCGATCCTTGTCTTAATATGCTCATTTCCTGATCAATTACATGAATTGGTCGTCTATCGGCGTAGGCAAAATCTAATCTAGCGAATATCGCCTCTAAGTTTAAAACCGTGCCGTGATTGGTAAGAATATCATTTACATTACCCACTATCTTATTTCGAAGAATGGTCAGTGCTCCGAAATAGTTCCTACTTCCTTCTATATATAAACTCATCGAATTCTTTGCAGCTTCCCTCCAACTCACATACGATTTATCAGAGAATTCAGGCAAGGATTTGATAATATCTAAACTTTCGGTACATGTTATTGCGTCATTAATAGTCTAAGCCGTTTTCTCCAGTAACATGTAACTTTAAAGCTCACTTTATATTGAAAGGTTGCATTAAAATGTATGATTGTGTCTAAAGTAAAGGATTTATTGTCGGTTTTACATTGCCTTACAACCAAGAAACATACATACGTCNCACTTTATATTGAAAGGTTGCATTAAAATGTATGATTGTGTCTAAAGTAATGGATTTATTGTCGGTTTTACATTGCCTTACAACCAAGAAACATACATACGTCCAAAACCGATAATAGAAATGCTTAACTTTAGACATAGCTTTATTTTTAATACAACCTTTACATATAAAGCGACCTTTAAAGTTAAAGGTTATTTCAGAAAACGGCCCTAAGTGTGGTGTTCAGTCACTCGTGTAGCATTGGTCAAATTCCTAATTTGGTTTGTCAACTGTGCTATCTCAGTCCTTAAATTTGTTGTCTGTGTAGCTATTAACCTAGCTATATCCTCTGCAGAAAAATTATTAACGGACATTTTTGAAATTTTAATGACTAATTCTTCCAGTTTAATATTTTCACAACTTATTTATATATTTTTTTCAAATATGGGCATTTATTAGTATTATGTCTACTGCTTAAACAATACCCACAAAAATAGAGCCTTTCAAATTTAATTTTTGTGGGATAATTTCCCATTAATAATTTATGCTAACACGTATAGTACATATATATTAAAATAAATATTTTTATTACTTACAACCTTATGTTGCAATGGTCCAATGATCCTAGGTCTCCTCCTGGTACCGTTGTCTTGCCCACGGTGGCAACGCTTTGACTTAGCGCGCAATGCCTCTTTCGTTACATTTAAATAAAATTTGAGTGTACTTTTTTAAATTTTGTTATCTTTCTCAGCGCACATTCTTTTGGTTAAATGTTCTTGGGTTTTTTTGCACTTTACACGGATACCCGTTACTAAATATCGAAAAAGGTGCGGCCTTTTTTCGCGTAATAATTTACCGATATTTGTTTTTAAGTTGGTCCACTTTGTTTTTCTCCCTTATTTATGGGATACTTTTTTTAAATTTGATTTATTTAACTTTTCTACCTTTTTTACGGGATACTTGTTTTAATTTAATTTGAGTTATTTAGGTTTTTCTCCCTTTTTCATGGGATACTTTTTTTAAATTTGGTTTATTTAACTTTTCTCCCTTTTTTACGGGATACTTGTTTTTTATTTAATGGACTATGATATACCCTTTCGCACAAGGTTTACATATATCAAGTCCTCCTGCAGGATCGCCTATTAACCCATTAACGCCGGGGAACAGAATCCGTGGACCGATTTCTATGATTTTTTGTGCACAAGCTACTTTTGCTCTCAGTATGCTAAAAATAATTTAAAAAAAAAAATGTTCTCAACACAATACAATTTCTTCATTTATAATAATACATACTTGTTTGCAACGATTTTTATTAAGATATGAATTCACAGGATATATGTACATACATTTATGTATCTATTAACTTTAACATAGGTAAAAATAAACACTTAAACACAAGAAACCAGAAACAAGAAATAATTTTCAATATTTTATACACGGTATTGAGCGAAACAATCTCGTATTACATAAAGCGTTTTTCTGCAAGTAGCACATGACCACATACTGCGTTGATGGCATACGACGCACCGCAGTTGTGCTGAATTTTTTTGTGGAATATGGCCATTAGTACTTCTTTCTACAGATGAAGCAGGCGCACGTCTTTTTCTGGGAGCTCGTGCTCTCCCTTCTATCAAATATTTTCGAACAATTTCACGTCTGAATTGCAGTTGTGTATTGAATTTATCGTTTTTGGAATTGAGTGATACATAGAACTTTCAAGCATCTGTCATGGTCAGATGAATAAGATAGGTGAAAATTACCCACAGCCATTTATTTCCTCTTAGAGCTATGCGGTAGGCATTTATATTTTGGTCAATATTATCGACTCCACCCATGTGCTTATTATATGTGGCATATAAATTTGGTTGTGATACGTTTATCTAACTCTGACTCTCGCGAGACCAACGTTTAACATAATGCATCGATGTTATTGTATCAAAATTTTTAAGAATTGAACAAACATTATTATTGACCCACTTAACTGCAAGAATATCGTTGCGAGTATCGTATCGATAATCATAAGTTCCACGGGAACGCTTTTTGAATGTCTTATTATTATCAAGCTTGCAATAAGGAATTCTATTTTCGCGAACGGTGCCACTTGCTTTTAACTTCATGTCAGCTAGCTGTCTCATCAGAGAATGGGTGGTAAAATAGTTGTCGAAAAAAATTGCATGTCTCTCGGGGCTGGGATTTTTTTCAACAAAATTTAACACAACACTTGCGCTTAATGAAATATTTCGAGCTTCGACAGTATTTTTTCCACAATAAACATCCAAATCGTAACAATAGCCACAAAAGCTAGCTAACATCCACGCCTTGTAACCAAAACGTATTGGTGTACCTCTAATAAAGTGTTTCGTAGAATGCCTACCGAAGTATTTAATCATTGATTCATCAATAGAAAAATTGGAATGAAGATAACCAAATTGTTGAAAACGTCCAATCAACATAGTCATTAGAGGCCTTACTTTATACATTTTATCTGTCGAATTATTTATTTCACTGTTGTCTGCAAGATGAATATATTTTTTTATTTCAATAAAACTATTGGGTGGTTCACAAGGTGTCGTAAGTGTCGTATTGTCGTATGTCGTAAAGTTTTTAACGGCTAAGTAAATGTTTAGAGGACTTGAAATCACCACCAACTATTTTTTAGCGGTGTGGAATTTCATAATAAAGCTTTTATGTTAGCTTGCGAAATCCTTAAATATAGTTTTAGTCGTTTAAAGTGTATGACATACAACAGTACGACAGTATACAACACCTTGTGAACTCCCTAGATCTCTTGCCATGTGTTCTGAAACTAAAGGCACTCCAAGATCCTCGTCGAGTGACCAGTACGAACGTTCAGTTGGTAACTTATGGTAACCAGTAAAAAACAAAATTGCGATAAAGACTCTCATCTGCTCAACATCAATTGTAAACTTAGGATTATTTTTATCGGAGTTTGCATATAACATGGTTTGGACACACATGTATTGAACTATTTCGTCTGTTAAAAATTCTTTGAAAATCATGTGTGGTGTATAATCTGCAAATCTGTCTTTAGTTGTATCAAATTTTTCAATATAAATACTGTCATTGTATTGGAGGGAACATCTTGGATCTTTTTTGAGCCATTTACAATTTCTGGTATCTATAAAAGAGCAATAAAGGTTAAAGGGTTAAGAAAATTTCATAATTAAAAAGAGCATAAGTAAACAAATTACCGATAGCTAGGTATTTCACCGAAATGGAGTTAGAGCGCGACGCTGATGAAGAAGTTGATGATTGATCCATCTCTTCTAATGAAGAGTTTATTACTGATAATGGTGCAGACGCCGGAGATGGTTCGCACGTCATCATGTCATCATCGTCCTTTATAAAGTACACCAACCTTTCGCACGCAATAAATTAAAAATAAACCAACTTACTAAAAAATCTTGAAAATAATATATTTACTGCTGTCTTCTGGCACACGATTTTAATTAAAAAAGTTATTTAAATCAACACGATACACTTTTATATTACCTTACAAACACACCGCTTAAGAGATGACAATTTTCTGTTTCGGTTTACTTTGATACAGCATAGATGTCAAAATGTAAACGTGGCAGTAAAAAAAAATGTAAGGTTTAGATTGGACTATCAATTAAGCGCACGAGTGCTTATTTAAATAAAAATCGCTAATAGTTTGTCCGTTCAAATTTTTGGAATGGACCCAATTTTTCTGTACTTTTTAAAGTACAGCCGGCGGGAATGGGAACACACATTTGGTGTATTTAAAAAATATATCGGACGGCGTGTCCTTTTATTTCGGAGTCTTTTCACTTACTGCCTACTTTTACAATACCTGCTTATTTTATATCAACCTTAACTCTAACAAGAAATGCCGAAGCCGCATTTCTTGGAATTTTTTGTTTACATAAAATTCTCAAATGAAATTAAAATTCCTTTTTAGTTTACGAATTCTTACAATAGTTTCATATTTCTGTATATGTGACAAATAAATGTGTCACATGCAACAGTTATTTATGTGTTTGCATTCTCAGCATTGGTATGCCATAAATATTACGATTTCTATTGAGTTCTTGAGTTTGAGGATATCTGTTTACATTTGCCGTTGTGTGGTCCAGTGAAGCTGGGTATTGATTTCTATTGAGTACCATTTAGGTACTTGAGATTTAGGATATTTGTTTATATTTGCCGTTATGCGGCCTAGTGAAGCTGGGTATTAACTTGTATGTAGTTACCCAAAAAACAACTTCACTTAGAAACCTGGAGAACTATAGATTTCTAATTTCTAAGTTAAATTTCTATGTGCAGAGAGAGTCGTGAGAGAATCATGCTGCCATTTAATTTTTTAATAAAATCCACGGAAATATAATTTTTTTGTATAAATGTTATTCATCTGACAATCGCAAAACAAACTTTCAAATAAAGACAGAAAATTAAATCGAATCGAAGATCGAAAATGAAATTCGTATTATGAGATATGCAACCATGGGCGTCGCTACGTAGGGCCAGGACATTTTCTTAACTTCTTCCAAGCGTGNTCGCGATAAATCTCATAAAAGAATGAAAACGAATAATCATAAATGAGAATTTCCGAACCCTGATATCTATGCCATGTCATTCCATCTCAAAAATACTGCTGTAGCATGTCATTGCTTCTTAGCTCAGCTGTTGTTTGCTGTTGTGTTTCTGCAGCATATTTGTAATACTGTTTAACCCTGCCTTGTATGAAAATGTATATAGCAGAGGTGGACAAGGCCGAGGCCGAAAAGAGCCACATCTAAGTTCTAAATGCTACAAAGAGCCACAAAAAAAGAACAAGAAAAACAAAAATTTTATTTTTAAATAAAATTATTATTCGAAATGAAAAACATTAATTTTATTATTATTCTATTGTACGTAGGATAGATATAAAAGAAAATTCAAAAGATCCCTTTGCCGAGATTTTCAAAATCTGGTTTTAGGTCAGTTAAAGCCGTTCATAACAATTCTGTTAAATGTTGGGTAGTCAATAGGTACGTTCGTTTAAAATCTCCAGTAAAAAATGTCCAACAGCGAAATTCCAGCGAAAAAATATAATATAACAAGTAAGAAAGTCTAAGTTCGGACGGAGCCGAACATTAAATACCCGGCGCAAGTATTAAATATATATTTTTTCACCTTTCCGAAAGCTACCGCTAGATGGTAAGCTGGGGTGTATCAATTTTGAGTAAATTAGCGTCCTTCAATTTCGAAATATTGAAGTTTCAAGCATTTCTGAAATTTACGGTTATATGAAAAGCGGCCTCAATTTTAGTCCGATTTCAACAATTTTCAACGTTTTGCTTATATGTGGCAAGCACAATAACCACACCGAGTTTGGTAAAAATTGGTAGAACGGTTACCGATATACTTATATGTGATCATAAGTGGGTGGCGCCACGCCCATTTTCTAAAAATTTTACCATAAACGTATTTCTTGGTAAAGAATTGCTGCAAGCATCAATTTTGAATAAATTAGCTTCAATATTTACTGATTTATCGAAGATTTTGTATTTCTCTGAATTACCGTTATATGGGATGTGGGCGTGGTTATTGTCCGATTTTAAAAAGTTNACTTTTATGATTTTGTGGCCACACATTAAGTTTGTTTCCTTTCATTGAAAATTCCACCTTTAGTCTGCATATGGTATCACTGTTAGCTACAGAAAACTAGCCTGTTCCCGTACTCCAGGGATTAGTCCGAAATAGTCCGAATTCGTTTCCTTTCACACATTTATCATATATTTTGCGAACAATTTCTCACTAAATCATGGAATGTGGGAACAGGCTAATATTTTCGTTCCTATTCCTTTTTGATTTTGAAGCTGTCGGATGTGGTACTGGGCTAAAGACAGTGTCACACGATTGGTACATTTGTACAAATTTGTATATTTTGGCAGTCACAGAGTGGTGTTCTTTAGAAATTTTTGTTCAGCTCAATAAAAGAATTTGCAAACAACACTACTCTGTAACTGCCAAAATGTACAAATCTGTCCAAATGTAACAATCGTCAGTCATACGTCTTAGTTAGGCTGATCTGTAGCAGCCACAGAATTGAACTATATATCAAACTAAAGTGCAGCTGCAGTTGCAGTTGACCGTGTTTGTCAAAAAAGTAAAAATCGGCAGAAAAGTCGATAGTGAGTAATATAATTTCGGAAAAGATTCGGAAAAGTTATTAGGTATTATTCATAATTTTGAAATATATTTCACGAAAGCAAAAAATAAAAATAGCTGAGATCCTTTTCTTTTTTAAACACCTAGGATATCACTGACCATTAAAAAGGACCCTCAATGACCGCAAACCTCAAAGCTTTACACATTTTTATATGTGATTTTTAAAATGAACGATCCAAAATGAACCGGTATACATATTCAAAATTTTTTATAACCAGTGGTTCAATTTTTGTACTGAAAGGATTAACCCTAAAAGTATAATCTACGTCTGCGAGGCGTATATGGAATGGGTATTTCTTTTAATTTTAACACAAAATTTACTTTTTATTTGGTTGTTTTAAATAATGTGGTTATAGTTTTTATTAACAAAATTATGTTTTATTATTAGTCAAACTCACAACTTCAATATTCTTTAAAAAATAAGGCTATAAATCAGGTTATCTTTTATGTACATAAGCCTCTACGGAGCATGTTAAGGCTTTTCGTTACTCCCAAATAGATTAGGCTTCTAGGGTTAAGAAATCTTTTGTTTGTGTTGTGTTGTATTGTTGTTGTGTGATATTAAATACTTTTCACCATAAACGGCGCCAATTTTCAATGATTATTGCGTTTCAGATTAAGACTGATACCAGATATTGTGAAAGGTTGGACTATACCTTATAGATGACGGTTTTCTCATGGCCCACTGCACGAAGCTTAGAGTAGAGTAATGTCTTTTAAGAACTTAAAAATTATCCTGGGTTATCAGGTGTCTAGCAACACAAGATTAAATGTTGTCTTTCACGAAGTTCTTTAAATAAATTTTGAGCTAAGTACTCACCCGTATTTCGAGGTTACTACTAGTTTTAATAAATTGTTAGTTTAATTTCCTATAATATTTACCTTTAGGTTTATGCATTTCAAGAATACATCAAAAATTTGTTTTAGAAATGAAATGAAATGTGAAATAATTGCAGAAACGATTATCCGGGTTGCTGAGCAACCGAGACGTCGACTTTTTAAATAATTTTTGTAAAACAAATTGGCAAGTACATATCGTCTCGTGCAGACCTCCGCGCTACCTTCTCTCTAGACTTGGGCTGCTGGAGAACACTGACTAAGAACTGCCACCTCCTAATCCAGGGTGTTAAGCGACACCGTGCCTATTGGACGGTTTGCAGCCAGGAGGGTATAAACCGGCTGTATTTGAACGGCGCCTTTCCGACACCGGGCCGCATCGTGGAGTAACGGTGGCCTTACTGCGACAAGGGGCGCTGGTGCGGCGGACTTTTGGAGATCCCCCATGAAAATTTAGACCACTGAGCTCGCCTTGTCGAGCAGGTGGTCGTACGAACTAGATGATGACAAAAACAACAACCAAAAAACCAAAATTTGACAACAACAGCCACAACAACAGCAAGTACAGTAACAATAGCACCCGCGGCTTCAAATGCGGTGGGTGCAACAGCACCACGCACAACAGAGGCCCTGGAGACGCCAAGAGACAGCAGCGCGCGGGAAGGCCCAAGAAGTGCTGGGCGGAAAGGCAGTTTCCTAGACCAGCTAACCGCCGAGGAGGCAGCGCTGTTCATCGAACATGCAAGTGACGATGACCAACCAGGAACCAGTGCAGATGCGCTACGTCGCATGGGCCAGGGCAAAACAGGTAGTTTTAATAACAGAAATTTGACAGGAAATCACAATTTACTTGCCGAACTAGATCGGCCGCAGCACCTGTCCGGCAGTTCTCTTTGCAGGTACAGAGAGACAGCAAGGTCAGACAGCAGCCACNGTCGACACCGCTCAAAGAGCCGGCAGCGCTCCAAGAGCCGGTGCCGCTCCGAAAGCGGTCACCGGGCGGAGAAGGAGAGACTCCATAGGTCGCACAGCAGTAGCGCCTCAGCAGCGTCCGACGACTCCGGGTGGCAGAAGCAGAAGAGTAGGAAACACCGCAGGGCCAAGTCTCCTCCGATGCCGCGGCCAGGTCAACCGGGGTCACTAGACGATCGGCTTCGCGAGGGCTTAAGCGGTTCCGGGGTTAAATGGTACCTCCGGTACCTCGGGCAAGGCAAGCCCTCAGTTGAAGTCAGAGCTATGGCAGAGGTCAGAATGGAGATAGAGAATGAGGGACGTGAGAGACACAGAAAAGGCGACAAACCC